TCTTGCCAGGCTTGCGCCAGCGATGCAGCACTGGCTGCGTGTTGACCTGCGCCGCCCTGCTTCCTTTCGCAGCGGTGCATGCCTTAGGTCAGACTGTTGGCGGCGCAGTGTATTGCTCGCGATGAGCAAGTGCCTGACTTTTACGGCGACTGCTTCTGCGGCGTAACCGTTGGCTGTTTGGTGACCTGAAGCATGATTGGTCGCCTTGTCTGACGATCCGATCGTCCCCAACAATTGCACTGAGGTCCCGGGTCAGACCGTGACCGCAGGACCCGAATCCTGACGTCACCATATCCCTCCTCACCCATGGCTCTCTGTGCTCCGTTCCACAGATTACAGTGCCTCCGTCTGGCCTGGGTACGGACGCCTTCACGGAGGACTGCTTGCTGCGCCACGCCCAGTTCGTGGTGGACCAGGTGCAGAGCTTCGACCTGGCTGGCGGTGTCGAGGAGGCGCAGCTGCTCACCACCGCCTGTGTACGCGCCCTCATCCGGCTGGCCGGCGTCACGCTCGGAAAACGGTACGTGATGGCCGTGGTGGCGTCACAAACGGTGTTCCACTAGATCCTGCCGAAAAACGACACTCAAACGCTGCACATGGTTATTAGTGGGGGGGGGGGGGGGACCGTGGTGGTAGGCATACGCACCATATATGTACATAGGCATCACGAAGTGAGATGATTGGCTCTAATGAGCAACGGCTACAACTGGGTCACTCCAGTGTTCACGGCGGTACAGCGGTTCATTACTGTGACTGTCATGAACTTGGCATGGCACCGTGAATGATGTAGACTGGTGAACCAATCGTTGAGTTGATGTGACGAGTGGGGTTAGGTGCTGTGTGGTTTGAATGGGTTTCAAACTGAAGCTGCTGTTTAAAATGGCTACGTCATGCTTGTCCACTGGGCTGAAGGGTTCCCAAATGCAACGGGGCTCCATTTACAATTGCAGCCGAGCGATCCGTAAAGTGACGCGAGTGAAAAAGGTAGCGGCCGCGCCTCTCACCAAAGCCACGACGACGCCACTGGTCTCTGAACTGTTTGAGAACTTCTTCAAGGGACAGATCCAATCGACGATAAGGCAAGTGGATGGCCCTGGGTTGGCGGATTGCGGAATGAATGACCGACGAGCTTAGCTGGTTCGTACACACAGGGTAGCTCGATGTTAAAAGGTCAGCCGCGATGTCGGGGATAAAGCCATCAGGAGAGTCTTCTGTGGAACCGTCCGTTTTATTCTGATCACCAGCCTTCTACGTCCATGCATCTCTGTACGTCAGGTGATGGTGGACCGATTTCTACCGTGCTGTCGTGTGTAGCAGCCCAGAAAATGAGCTTCTTGTGATATCGCTGGTGCGTTGCGGCTGTGGAGCTGTCAGCGTCCCCCTCCTTTCTCACGTCACGTTCATGTCGTCTGCCGCGTGCCCCGTCTCGTGCGAGCGCCGCGTCCTCCGCTGAGCGTCCCCCTGCCGCTGGCAGCTGAAGCAGGGGCCGCGCCGCACGCGCTGTGGGGTGTGTGAGGCCTGCCAGCAGCAGCCCGACTGCGGCGACTGCAAACACTGCCGCGACATGGTGAAGTTCGGCGGCAGCGGCCGGAGCAAGCAGTGCTGCATCAACCCAGGTAAGTGGATTACCAACCGCAGGTAGGCAGTGCTGCACTAACGGCAGGCAGAAGTGTTGCACCAACGCACGGTAAGCAGTGCTGCACCAACACAGGTAAGCAGTGCTGCACCAACGACACGGTAAGCAGTGTTGCACCAACGGCACAGGTGGGCGCTGCATGACCTACATCAGTGATGCGCCCTAAGCCCCAAATCATCATCATCATCAACGGCACAGTAAGCACTGCACCAACGGCACAGTAAGCGTGCTGCACCAACCGTACGATAAGCGTTGCCGCCGTCCGCTGTCGTCAGTGCCGTGCAATGCACCACACAGAGCTGCACCAGGCGCAGGTCACGAGCTGCTGCCAACTGCAGGTGACACCTCTTGAAATGACGGAGGACTGCGATGGCTAAACGAGTGGAGAAAACTGATACCTGAATCACCAGCTGTGCTACATCAGCTTGCAACCTGTGGCGCGATGTTGTCCTGATTTTTTGTTTATGTTCTTGTAGTTGTTGCTGCACGTCTTGTCGGAGAAATGTCATTCAACGAAAACCCGCAAGTGCTGAACTGAGTTCAGCATCATGCATGCGACGTCATTGCTGGTGCCGACGTGCGCAGGTGGATACCATGACGAGCGAAGACGGGGCCATGGCCGTGACTTGTGTTCCAACTGCCATCGCCAGGTGTCCGAACATGGCGATTGAGGAGGCGGAGGACTCTAACGGCGGTGAGGACGAGGAGGACGACACGACGAGGACGGCGGCGCTGGCGGCGGCGGAGCGAACACACCGCGTGCGGCGCCACTCCCTCAGTACAGCTGGGCCGGCGAGCCGCGCGGCACACACGCCGCCAGGACCTACTACAGGTAAGAGCGAGCGGCGGCTGTGCGGCACGGCCGCCACTAGAGCCGTGGGTGGCAGCGAAGCAGCCTTGCCACAAAGTGGTGGTTTTGTGGTAGTTCACGTGGGTGACGCGACAGGAGCCATTTGTCAACGTGTGCGCGTTTGTGTGCTTAACTTTACCACTGTACTTCGGGGCTGGCATCTTCATACAATGGCGGGTGGTTTTGGCTGTGGACGGTGAACTGTGCGTGCCCTGCTGTACCCCTGCCAGCTGGCGTGTACCGCCCTGGTCAGCTGGCGTTACCGCCCTGGTCAGCTGGCGTGTACCGCCCTGGCCAGCTGGCGTGTGCTGACCGGCCGGCTCGCCCCCAGCTCGGTGGATGTCAACGGCGAGCGTCTGTCGGCGGGTGACTGTGTGGTGGTGGAGGCCGAGGGGCCGGCAGCTGCCGTACGTGGCCCGACTCGTGTACATGTGGAGGCGGCCTCCGGACAGCGCTGCTACCACGCCGCCTGGTTCTGGTCAGTGCCGCCCGCGGCGGACACGTGAACACCGTCCCTGCTCTGAAACATGTCGTTCGTTCCTGGGGTACAGCCGCCAGTGTCTCTCGTGATGTTAGCATTTATAATCTAGGGCGTTTCCCGCAAAATTTCAACTGGTCTTGTTACGGCAGTTCGCAATGGTGTAAGTTCGGCTGCTGGATACGTACAGTGATCCGAGGTTTATTGTTGCGTGTTGTCTTTTTCTGTTATTTTTACATTTTTTTTCTGCCCCATTTGACACATGATGAAATACGTGTTCGCACTACACACACCTCGCCTTTAAGGAACTTTCGTAAAATGAGAATGATACCATTTATCGGTGCGATATATCGACTGTCCTGCTGCTGTCCACTGGACTAAGCAGGTCTGTTGCGGATCCATAGCCGTGCTCCTTGGCATGTCGACCTGACCAGTGTGTACCGTTCCGCTGCAGCCGTGGCCAGGAGACCCTGCTTGGAGAGACGGCCGACCCTGCGGAACTGTTCGTCACGGACGAGTGTGAGGACATGCCCCTCGAGTCCATCACACGCAAGGTCAGCACACGCAGTCGAGTCCATCACACGCAGTGTCAGCACACGCAGCCGAGTCCATCACACGCAAGGTCAGCACACGCAGCCGGGTCCGTCACACGCAAGGTCAGCACACGCAGCCGAGTCCATCACACGCAAGGTCAGCACACGCAGCCGAGTCCGTCACGCGCAATGTCGGCACACGCGGTCGAGTCCATCACACACAAGGTTAGAACACGCAGCCGAGTCCATCACACGCAAGGTCAGCACACGCAGCCGAGTCCATCACACACAAGGTCAGCACACGCAGCCGAGTCCGTCACACGCAAGGTCAGCATACGCAGCGGAGTCTATCACACGCAAGGTCAGCACACGCAGCCGGGCCCATCACACGCAAGGTCAGCGCACGCCGTCAATTCTATCACACGCAAGGTCAGGACACGTAGCCGAGTCCGTCACACGCAAGGTCAGCACACGCAGCCGAATCTATCACGCGCAAGGTCAGCACACGCAGTGGCGACACCTCCGTCATGGGTAACTCAGCGTGCCCCCTGCCCTGTTCCGCTCCGCAGCCTGTGCTCCGCTCTGGCCGCATGCGCGTGACAAACCGTGTGTCTGTCGTGTGCTACACTGCCTGCGCGTGACAGCGTGTGTGTCATGTGCTAACCTGTCTGCGCGTGACAGCCGTGTGTGTCTGTCGTGTGCTACACCTGCCTGCGCGTGACAGCCGTATGTGTCTGTCGTGTGCTACACCTGCCTGCGCGTGACAGCTGACCCCGGCCCGGCAGGCGCGAGTCCTGGATCGGAGCGACGCGCGCTGCTAGTTCCAGCAGCGCGAGTCGTTTCACGTACCAGAGAACGAGTCGGATACGTTCTGGTTCCAGAAAAAGTAGGTTGATTTAACGACTTTGGGACGTCACAGTACTATTGATCTGCATTTGTACCCGTGTTTTGCGTATGTTGTATTGTACGGTTTTTATGCGAGTTTGCCTTGGATTAATCTCACCGAAATTAAACCTGGCATCTCACCTTGCTAAATTGTCTACAGTCATTAGCGTTTCTGGTGCCTAGATCTATTTCACCCCGCCCTGACATCTAACAAGGAGGGTGCCGACCAGCGAGTCCGTGACTGCTGACTGGAACACTTCAAGGCGTTCCACGCTCTCGGGCTGCGAAACGCTGTCCTGCCATGCCAGCTCACGGCCTGGCCATTGGACTGTGACCGGTGCTGGCCGTCACCAGTCCGATGACCCCTGGTCAGGTACCGGCCGGAGCACGGCCGGTTTGAGGACGTGGCGGCGGAGCCGGTGGCCATCGACGGCCGGCTTCTGCCCGTGCTGTGAGCAGCTCCGTCTTGAGGAGCTAAGCAAGGTGCCCACCGTGGAGGGCCGACTGGATGACGAGCCAGGGAGGAGCGAGGTAGGTCTCTCTCTGTCTCTCTGTCTCTATCTGTCTCTCTCTCTCTCTCTCTCTCTGTCTCTCTCTGTCTCTCTTCTCTCTCTTCTCTCTTTGTCTCTCTCTGTCTCTCTCTGTCTCTTCTCTCTCTCTCTCTCTCTCTCTCTCTCTCTCTCTGTCTCTCTCTCTCTCTCTCTCTCTCTCTCTCTCTCTCTCTCTCTCTCTCTCTCTCTCTCTCTCTCTCTCTCTCTCTCTCTCTCTCTCTCTCTCTCTCTCTCTCTCTCTCTCTCTTTCTCTCTTTCCTCTCTCTCTTTTTTTCTCTCTGTCTGTCTGTCTGTCTGTCTGTCTGTCTTGCCGCTTCCCCGCCTTCTCGCCTCCTCGCTTCCTCGCTTCCTCCTTCCTCTACGCCTCTTGGTCTTTCTCTTCGTCGTGATCGTGCACGTGCTCCTGCTCTCACAGAAGTTGTGTATTCTCCGTCAGCGCACTATTTTTTGTCTACTTATTCTCACACCCAAAGCCCAACTTCTCATCATTTATCTCTTTATTATTTAGATGAGCATTTCGCACGTTCCGCTTTATTGCAGCTACCACATCACTCATGAGTAGCGACATTATTTGCTATTTACAAAGTCTTACATGAATATCATCCAGTCAAATCACTCATCAGCGTCTAGTCCCTGGCGTGAGACGTCCTGTCTCCAGCGTCGCTCTCTCCCCGCCCTGTCTCGCGTCCCCGGCCGATGACCATTCGCTCTCGGCAGACGCGCTTCGGCCAGGTGCGCTGCAGCGGCGAGACATACTCGGTGGACAAGTGTGTGTTCCTGGACCCCGCCGCCTTCTCTCTGCGCCGGCGGCAGGCCTGGGTCAAGACGGTCAAGACGTGCGACGTTTCGCAGGTATCGTGGTGGCGAGAGGCGTCACGCGTGCTGGAGAGAGGCGCGGATGCGGCCGGCTCCAAACGCAGGCTCTGTCGCCAATTGTTCTCAGAGCGAAGCGGATTGGCAGTGCGAGGAAAGCAGGCGTCATTGTCGCAACCAGTTGACAGCCCTGGACATTTATTGCACGCTCGCCAATGGTAGGTGTTCGTCAATAGCTGTCCATAACTAGCTGTTCGGTTGTTCCCGTCAGGTGGACGAGGAACTCTACCCTGAATACTACCGCAAGGCCACCAGCTACGTGAAGGGTTCCAACGAGGAGACGCCGGACCCATTCCGCATCGGCCGCATCAGCAGCATCTTCACGAACAGAACAGGTGACGCCCAATAGCACGACTCGACCTTGGTCTTGTATTGGTGTCAGTTGTTTACCTTCTCCTGATCGTTCGCCGAGATGATAGTGATGCCCTAGCTTTCAACTCGCTTTGCCGTTTGAGAAGATCTCGCAGTGTTACACCCGCACCTTCGTGTCCAGAGTTCAGACAGCATTAAGCCTTAAGGGACCAACTCATCTAATGTCGGTGAGGAGTCGCCTTTTGTAAATGATTTGCTAGGTAGTGAGCTTACACGGCAGCCCAATCAATGGCTACGATCAATAGCAGTACGGCGTTATCCGGCGTGACTCTGGCGAAACGTTACCGAAGGCGTCCGCTCCGCAGGGAGCAACGCGGAGGCGGGCGACGTTTTCCTTCGCGTGACCAAGTTCTACCGAGGAGAGGACACATTCCGGGGCAAGGAGGGCTCGCAGCACAGCGACCCGCACATGATCTACTACAGTAGCGAGGGTGAGCGGCCTGCCGTGGCGCCGTGCAGCACCAATGGCAGTGTGGGTGTCCGGATGCAATTGGGCCCTCGGTGTGGAGCGTGAGCCACTACCTGAAGATACCGTGTGGGTTGTGTGACGCTTTTGACGTCATGCATTGGTCGTGTCTAGATAAAGACAATTGACTGATGCTCTACGTAATGTTTGCAAGCCTCGGAAGCGTGCCTCCCGAGTAAACTCGACGACACGTGGCGGGCGCCCGCTGACGCCGGCCGCCTCGCGCCGCCAGAGGTGTCGGTGGCGTTCGGTCACGTGATGGGCAAGTGTCACGTGGTGTACGGTGACAACCTGACCTGCTCGCCGGAGGAGTACCGCCGCTGTGGACCTCACCGCTTCTACTTCCTCGAGGCGTACGACGCTGACGGCAAGAGCTTCACCGAGCCGTCGCCGGCCGCCAAACGCATGGGACTCCTCAGAAAGGTGCGGTGGAGGCCGTCTGTGTACCGAGGGACGACTGCGCATGGGGACGGTCCTAGGGCATGGCTTTATGTGGGAGGGACTGTACCTGGAGATTGGCTGTACCGGCACTGATCATGCCTAGAGATGGCTGTACGTCGTGACTGTACCAGAAAACAGTTGCACCTGGAGGCTTTGTGTAGCATAGGATGAACACATGGGCTTATAAATTTATTTTACATATAAACATGTTCGATTCGGCGTATCCCCTCCCTGTCGTGCCCGCTGGCTGTCAAATGTGGGAAACCATTTGCTGCTTTCTCCTGTATTTGTCCCGTGCTTGTGGGCCTGTTTTGCTCAGTCTGAGCACGGCCGACGGCTCTGACGGGCAGTGCCCCTGACACCCGTACCGCCTCACGATCGGCTGTGTTGCCACACTCGACTGGTTGCACGCAGTCCTTTTCCGCCAACTCCAGCGCGTGCTGGTGCACCTCGCTCGCGCCGGCCGCTGACTGCCGCCTGTGCCGCAGGGTCAGGGCAAGGGCAAGGGTGCGGCGGCGCAGCGGGCGGTGCCGCCGCCGCCCGAACACCCGGTCGTGGCGCCGCTCCGCGCGCTCGACGTGTTCGCCGGCTGCGGCGGCCTCTCCGCCGGACTGCACCAAGTGGGCGTGGCCGTCAGGTGAGGGCGGGGCTGGGCGGCGGCCTGGCAGGCGTCACTGTCTGTCGGGAAGGACAGTGACAGTGACAGTGACAGTGACAGGGGCGTCTGTGTCACGTTTCTCTCACGTTTCTATATATATATATATATATATATATATATATATATATATATATATATATATCAGTCGGGTTTGTGCAATGAATATAGCAATCCAAGATAATGTATAATAGATTACATCGTGGATGTGGTGAAAAGGGACCTTTCCGTATTATCTAGCGCTGTTTGCCACGTTACTCTACGTGGGATGATCACCATACGGGCTGACCCTTTTGTCGGTTTTCAGCCAATGGGCGATCGAAATAAACCAGCCGGCGGCCAACGCGTACCGGCTCAACAACCCGCAGGCCACGGTGTTCTCGGAGGACTGCAACCATCTGTTGCAGCTGGCCATAGACGTGAGGCCGGGGCCGGTCCGCCAGCTGGTGCCGGCCACCTCCCGGACGGGGCTCTGTAGCCCTGGGCTCTATAGCCATGATATCCCCAACCAGGCAGCCGTCATAGCCGCTGATGGGAACTTGCACAAATTGGTGCAGCTGATAATTTGTGAGGGAATTTAACTTTAGAAAACGTTCTGACACTTGAGGACTGTGGTGTGTTCATTCTCAGCTTGCAGGAATGTTTGGGGCCAAATAACGACATTTTGCAACTTTTGCCCTTATGTTTAGCTTCTGACTCAGCGCTGCCGCCGCAGATGAAGTGATGGCATGCCATTGTTTTTTTTTTTGAGAAGCCTTGGTCTCGGGGCAAGGCACACGACATCCCGCTGTTGCAATAGACTCGCACGTGTCGCTGCTGCAGGAGGCTCGCATGCCACTGGTGCCAAATATGTATGCGTCATCACTGCCGCGACAGATTCAGTTACATGTTACTACTGGATGACTGTTCCAGTGGCATTCAACTGCAATGTCTTTTTTCCAGATTCAGATGGGGTGGAGAAATTGCACGAACCCACATTGGTATGTCTGTTGGTGTAATGTTCACATCGCGTGGTGTGCACAAGAGGCTCATTCGGTCTGTCACTGAGTGTGCCACAACCCTCTCCTGACGCGTGACATTTGCAGGGTGCAGAGCAGAACGCCAGCGGCCAGCGGCTGCCGAAGCCGGGGGAGGTGGACCTGCTGTGCGGCGGGCCGCCGTGCCAGGGCTTCTCCGGCATGAACCGCTTCAACCCCCGGCAGTACTCGCAGTTCAAGGTACCCGCTGTGACGCGCGCCGGTCCCAGGGCGTGTGTGCCGTGTTTAAATCGTGACCTCCCTACACGGCCTCGTGTATCTCTGCGGCTTCCCACATCTGCGGCCTCTTTCAACGCGTGGTTCGAAGGCTTGCTTCACCGTCGCGATGCTGCGCCACTACCCGAAAAAGCTCCCGTAGTTTTTTTACTGTTGTGCGACTTGAATTATCTTGCAATTCATTGAAACAGTTTCTGGGTTATTTGATGACGAATTGCGGTCGTCTCTTAACGTCGACATCTAATGGAGACTGCGAAACACGCGACTAATGTCAAACATGAAACCCACGACTTTCGGCAGAGGGGCGTGGGCGAGCTTTCTATCATACTGCTAGTTTGTTGTTCCACCTCGCTACGCTGCTGTTCTGTTCGCTGTTTCATATCAGGCTGGATTGGATGTTGCTGAAGCTCAGAGAAGAGGTGACAACCGCAAGATAGGCATCGTTGAAGAGCTGGTCCACAGGATTTTGGGAAATTGGAACCTCCTGGGCTCTCTGTTATTGGAGCACTTTTCCGCAGAACTCTCTGATCGTCAGCTTCTTGAGCTTCTGCGACTTCTACCGGCCAAAATACTCCATACTGGAGAACGTGCGCAACTTCGTTTCTTACAAGGCCAACGTGGTGCTGAAGCTGACGCTGGCCTGTTTGCTGAAGATGGGCTACCAGTGCGGCTTTGGTGTGCTGCAGGCGGGCAACTACGGCGTCCCTCAGACGCGCCGCAGGTCGGTCACGTGCCGGGGACCTCGGTCGGCACCACTCTGACATCATGCAGTCCGTCATCTGCGCAGATCAAAGCCGTCTATTGATGGGAAGTTTCTGGTCGCCGCGTTAACATTGGGATCGCATGGCAGTTGTGTATCGTCTGGGGCTTATGCGTGGCATGCGCCGCTCTGCTGGCGGCGCTATGGCCCGCCACCGTACGTCACCGACGAGTCTGACGGTGCCTTACTCGGTAGGGCGATCATCATGGCCTCGGCCCCCGGCTTCCGCCTGCCCCTGTACCCGGAGCCCCAGCACGTGTTCTCGCTGAGGGCCTCCTCGCTGGCCATGGTCATGGAGGACACCAAGGTATGGACAGCGAAACGGCTCACGGACAACGGCGGACGGGCACTCCCCCGCGATCCGCCGCTCTTAAACGACAACATGCAGCATGACGTGTGATAACCTGCGGATTTGAACGTTAAACAACTTGTTGAGTGCCACTCATTTAAGGATTTGGGATGCTGGTCATAAAACCCACCACATAGGCTGTCTTTATCGGTTGCTGTCGTAGGCTGTCTGCAGCGGCGCCAGTATTTCAACGTGCCCTCACCCAGATGACATTTGACATGCGCAGCGCGCACCCCGGCTGACCTGAGGACGCGGTGTTGCAGTACACGCCCACGTGCCGGTGGTCGCAGTCGGCGCCATACCGGACTGTGACTGTGCGGGACGCCATGTCTGACCTGCCAGAGATCCTGAACGGCGAGAAGCACGAACAGATGCCGTACGACCGCGACGCCAACTCGCACTTCCAGAGAGTGGTGCGTTCCGGGCGGTGCTCGTGGCCTGTTTGCCTGCGCTAGTGGCGGTTACAAAGGCACAGGCGGAGGGTGTGGTGTCACGAGGGAGAGCGTCCGCTTGGCTGCACGTGCCGAGTGATGCGCAGGGTTCAAAGCTGGCTCCGTGCCCAGAGTCCCGCAGCGATCAGCTTGAAGTATCGCGACAATTAATGACGTTTGACGTTCAATGTGGTGTACATCCCCAAAAGTGTCGTCGCGTGTAGTAAGTCGTTGCAATTCATGTTGCACGCATTAGATGACAAAAAACTAAACGCGATCAAAAGCAAGAACGTTACCAAATATATATGGCTGGGAAACGGCACTTGGGGACTGACGTATGCTGAGTTGTGAAGTGGGTAAAATAAGTTATCGTCCTATTATTTCAGCGCCAACAGGGCCACGGTTATTGATTGCCTCGTTGAGACGGCCGGAAAGATTAGAAAGCATCTTATCAAAAATGTGTACCTAGTTGAGTTGTCACACGACATTTGGTAGTAGAACGCATGGCACCTCATTTTTATGTCACTGGACTCAGCTCCTTCCGAAATTATGTTCGAATAGTAAGCATATCGTCGCAGCATAACGGCAACAGACAAATACGTCAACATATTTGCCTCCCATCCATATCTCGACGATATCAGTCCATTATCATGCAAAGCGAAAAGACTTTGAACTTCAGGACCTCGGCATCCTTCGCCTTGAAAGGATCCAGAACCTGGTCATATTTCTGCCGCTAGGCGTCACCGGCAGGGTACAGTTACAGCGTGGTTGGCGACAGATTCCCGCTGAACATGACGTGATGTGCGCTGACGCGGCTGCGAGCCGCGCCCTGACGCACCCCCCTCCGGGGCCGTGACGAGCCAGCCGTCACCGCCGCCTCTTGCCGCAGATGCGGGCCGGCCAGGAGACGGCGCTGCTGCGCGACCACGTGTGCAAGGAGATGGCGCCACTCATCGCGGCGCGCATCCGCCACGTGCCGACGGCGCCGGGCAGCGACTGGCGCGACCTGCCCAACCTGGCAGTCCGCCTCAGCGATGGCACCACTTCGCGCCTCCTGTGAGTGGTCGGGGCGCCGACCGGGCGCTGGGTGGTGTCCGAGGGGGGGGGGGGGGGGCTGGAGGTGGTCAGGCGGGCACCGGCAGGACAGAGCAGGAGCCCGACCCGCCTGTGGTGAAACCCTCAGCTGAGATGATTGTAGGGTAGGTTACGTGGCCGACGCATGGTGACTCGTTCAAGCAGGCTACTGACATCTCGAACACGTCTGTTGGACATCTTGACCGCGGTAGGTTTACAGGTTTAACGTGGTTGGTGTAAAATTGTGAAATTTTGTGTTTCGGAAAACGCTCTACAAAACGTCAAGTTTCTAGTTTCTGAAAAGGGTTTTGCATAAGTTTAGCTCTTTATACCGAGTGTTCAACGTGGAAGGGCGGAATCCGTCGCATGTGTGGTATGCCCATACGAAAAGCGTGGACCCGGCGGACACGCATCACCTCAAAATAAATTGTATCACCTCACCTCAAAATAATTATCAACGCCTTACGAAGCATGCGCTTGAGTAGCCTCGTTGCCCCGTGCAGGTAAAGATGACCACAAACTATCTTGATTGTTTTGATATTTGAATGTTACATCAGCGTCCAGGACTACGTTAAATGGCATGTATCTTAAAGCAAAAGATTGATCCGGGTCATTTTAGCTTGGTGACCTCCCTTGACCTTCATGAATCCTACATACGATTTTCCAGACGTAACTGTGACCAAAGAATTCAATGAACGACAAAAACTAAGCAATGAAGAACGTTTCCTAATAATAGAGCGGCCTGGCCTCGACTTTGATTTGACTTTCGTACCTGATCCAGGGCCAATGAAACAGTCGTAGTCCTTTATTCAGTTGTATCATTATGTAAGAAACCATCTTAAAGTTGCATGACTTCGGCTAGCAGTCTTTTACCAGAGTAACCACAATAACTTTTGGGCAGATCTGACTATTTCGTGGGGAGACCACATAAAATGGCACCAAAACAGAATTGGACCACAGCAGCACTTCAGATGCGATCACGTTCATGTTCCTAGTCATGCTGTGGTTTCTCACAGATGGGCTTGGTTGCGTAGCCTACAAGCACACAAACAAATATCGTGGCCGAATGTGTCAGTAAAAACGGACGGTGACGGCAGGCAGCTTTTGACAGTCACCTAAACGATTGACAAATACACGGCATGAGAACAGCTCAATCAGGGCGTCTATGCCGAAGCTGTGGGAGCATCCAGACAAAGCGCGCTGTCTAGCTCAGGCCAACAGGGCTATGGCGATGAGAAGGCCAGAGCAAACAAAAAGCTTAGAATACAGGTGGCTCATTGCAATCCACCACGCGTATGACAAGCCCGGCGTCCAATGGCCGAGGAACAATAAATGGGTGAAAAAGAATCGCTTAGCTCGTGCCCGATGCTGCATAAGAAGCTGGCGCAACGGAGTGAATGGCTATCCCCAGTGCCAGAAGGAAAAAAACTGTGGTAAAGCGGCCTCCCAACACTGGATGTCCACCATGTTATGTAGTCCCACCGACTAACCACACAATAGTGGCAAGGCTCCAAAGATAAGAGGCCGTAGGTGTCTGAAGCGGACACCGAAGTGTAAAGCATGTCAGCAACACTCAGAACAGGTTTTTTCGCGCCCGACCAGGGGCGGGAAACTTGACTTCCCACTAAGGTTTTTCAAACACAGCTCAAAGATGAACACTAGCAGCAACACCAAATTTTCAGGGGCTCTTTATCTATCTGTTTGGCATCCTCTATGCAATTTGAAATTCTAATCTGTCAGTGAGCTAGGTCAGATCAAAGAGACCAATCTACAAAAACTTTCCCCACGCCTAACTTTTTTGCAGATTATTTGCCATTGCTCAAACTTACCATGGCAGTAGGTCATGATAGCACTTACAGTCTTTTAATGTCAGATTTTTCGAAACAGGCGAGCTTAGCGACTTGAGGTCAGGTCATTGTTGGCTATTTTTTGTAAATAACACACATTTGCACGTATTTCTGCAAAGCTTTGGTTTTTGTATATGAGGAAAAGGCTACCTATTAACTTACATGCACAACCATCATATTCCTGCTGAGCATATGAGTTCGTTCCAGGTCATGACCTACCTTTGACGGTGCCTTCTACAAAACACATGCTGAACCCAAAAAGGGCAGCTTTGTGGGCAAATTTTGGTGTAGAATTCGAATACCCAACTGAAAACATGCAATGATATTATAATGATGTATAATGAGGTGACGTTAGAGCAGGTGAGGACTTGCAACGTCATATCAGGTCTTCCAAAGTCAATGATCTCTGTTATCAGTGGAGGATAGGCTAGATGAACGAGAGGGACGCGTGTAATCACCTCTATGCCGTCTTTGTGAAGCTGATAACACATAATTTCATGTACCAATGTGCCTGTTCTCAGTTTCCTACGCTAACAAACGTTGAAGGGGCTATGGATAATATGTATATACTACAGCTACGCGATCTTGAGTACCTGTAGATATTGAACACATCATTTCTGACCACAGAAAAAAACCATATACTGGTTACTTAGACCCGGTTAACGCTTCAATTTTCGTGTTTGGATGGTTTATAAATGTGACCTAAGCTGACCTCAACTGACCTTTAGATCAGCCTGAGGCGACAACTCTGTGTGCACTGCTTTTGTCTCACAGATGCACCTAATAAAATAAATGTAGTCACAATCACATCGAGAGAGAAAACAAAAGATGGTCATCCTTGTGGCCTACTGGTAGACCATTTTTGAAATGTGACTTGGTCTGACCTGACCCTTGTGGTCAAACAGAAGTGATGGAATGGACTCCCCACGGCCTTGCCGCTTACGTCTGTGCTCTAAACATTCACATTGACGTGTTAAAATATGTTTTGACTTTATCTATCAGAGTAATTTTTGGAACTTTCGCGATCTCTGGTTACCGCCAGCCGTCCACGTGTCTTTGGCGCAGGTTCAGAAGCAGAATATGAATCCATGTGTTGCTAGACAAACAGCCTTGCACCGTATCTGATCGCATTAGAAGTACACAACGCATACACGGAGGTTCCAAACAGATACAGCCGTTGGCTGCAAATTGTGCGACTCGACTACCTGCCCCAGGCCGGAAAGACCGCGGCACTGTGGTGGATTCCGATGATGATGCTTTGGGCTTAGGGACGTACCGACTACGATGGTCATGTGGGGTCTACTGTGCTGAACTCCGAACCACGCGAAAATCGCTCGATGCGATCTGATTGCCGTCGCCGCCGATTGCCGCCTACGCCACGCGCAAGGACGTTTCCAATATCGAAGTAGACAAGATAGAATGATGAGGAAAAGACCACCGTCATTACGCTTCACAACAGCCGCACAGGCTGCCGTGAAGGGCACCTCACACCTCACCCCCGGTGCCCACACATCAACGCCACGGTAGTTGTGCGTATTCATCTGATGTGCAAACATTTTTTTTCTTCAATGGAACCTGCGCGCCTGTCTTTTTGCGTTCCAACGCCCGCTTGCCGGGGACTGGCACACCACGTGCCCTGCTGCCGCACCGAGGCCCAGTGCCGCGCACGTCCGCCTGTTCAGATATCGGCATGCCACCTGGACCGCCGCCTCCCGGCGCCGCGCACGTCCGCCTGTTCAGATATCGGCATGCCACCTGGACTGCCGCCTCCCGGCGCCGCGCACGCCCGCCTGTTCAGATATCGGCATGCCACCTGGACCGCCGCCTCCCGGCGCCGCGCACGTCCGCCTGTTCAGATATCGGCATGCCACCTGGACCGCCGCCTCCCGGCGCCGCGCACGCCCACCTGTTCAGATATCCGCATGCCACCTGGACCGCCGCCGCACGGCGCCGCGCACGCCCGCCTGTTCAGATATCGGCATGCCACCTGGACTGCCGCCGCACGGCGCCGCGCACGCCCGCCTGTTCAGATATCGGCATAACACCGGGACCGCCGCCTCCCGGCGCCGCGCACGCCCGCCTGTTCAGATATCAGCATGCCACCTGGACTGCCGCCTCCCGGCGCCGCGCACGTCCGCCTGTTCAGATATCAGCATAACACCTGGACCGCCGCCGCACGGCGCCGCGCACGTCCGAATCCAACTTCCATTGGATCAGATATTCGTTTTGATAACGGGTCTGAGATGAATGCAAGTACGACATGCTAATCAACAATGTTGTTTCAGAAATCGACTCTACATAGCACGCGGCTCGGGCACACAGCATATTTCGCGCCCTGCGAAACAGCGCGCTGTTGTTCGTTTACACGGTAGTTCTACTTTGGACCAAACAAATAATTCGCGAAGGCTGGTGCATCCATCGCCCAAACAAGGACTAAGCCTTTTGATGCGTGCAACAACGCATGAACGCGAAAATATCACGGTCGGAAGCGAATGAACCACGACCTTCTCCTCAGTCACATGCCTCAGTCTACTCCCACCTGAAAACATAAGATCCGGCTTCGTTAATACGAATCAAAACACAACCAAAAGTTGTAAAATGTATTACATTGTGGGTGGCCTGAGGCACACCGAGACAAAAGTAAAATCATGAACAATCACAAGGCAGTCCAAACGTGTTTAGCAGCCGTCAATGAACTCGAATACGTCTGCATTTCATCCGACCGACGACAGCTAAAAGCCCGGCATGACTTGATTGCGTCCTGCTGTCAGGGCGCCGCGCGCACTGCCATCAGCGCAAGCCTTCGGCGCCACTGTCAGAGCCGCCCCCGCCTGTTTCCGCCGCGTCCTCGGCGCCGGGGCCGCCCTCTTTCGCCGGTTCTCCCTTAGCGCCGCCCTGACCGGCATCACTCGGCTGCCGCTGGCCACCGTCGGCGTCCCCGCCGACCCGCGCGGCCGGCGCTCCGCCCTCGCGGGCCGACAGCGCCAGCGAGCGCTGGATCTCGCGACCGATGGCGGCGGCCATCGGCGGCGGTACGGCGTTACCGATCTGTGGACACGACAGAGCGGCCCGGTGACGGCGCCATCGCCATCGCCCAGCCGCGAACGCCCGGTGACGCACCGCACGTCTCGCTGGGGCTAAATTCACGCGCGCAGTAGCTTCGTACTTCAGCTTGCATTACCGCGATTCAACGCATTCGACTGTCCAAATCCGGACGGTGCACCAGCTTCCCCCCCCCCCCCCCCCCTCCCCTCAGTCCAAGCGTCGCAAGGCCGCGGTTACCTGTCGGTGCTTCTCGAGCGTGCTGCCGAAGAACCGGTACGAGTCCGGGAAGCCTTGGGATCGGGCACACTCGCGCACGCTAACCACGCGGTGCTGCTCCGGATGCAGCACGCGACCCTGCCGGTTCAGGTCGGGTCAGGTCAGGGGAGGGAAGGTCGGGTTAGGCCAAGCCAGGCCAAGCCAAGTCTGGCGGGACTTTGGTCGACCACCAGTGAGCCAACAGCAGGCTTAACACGGCGCGCGGAGCGTTGGCATGTCAATGGCGTGCCATTGCATTATTCACCGGCTCGACCACAAAGACGTCAAGCATTATTGGGATTATGCAGCCGACTGAACCAGTGAACAAATAGAACTTTACCGAGCGTAACGTAATCCGAGCTTGACGCATGACCGCATCAGGTGTGTTCAGTGTAACCCCCCTCCCCCGCGCGCGCGGGTGGTGCGCCAGCGCCGCGTCCGTGCCCGGCTGGATGCGCCAGCCGCGGCCAGCACATCGCCGAGCTGGGGCGCGTCCGCGGCTCCGCCGTCGGCCGCCGCCGCCGCCCCGCACCTGCTTGCCCATCGGCTCGGGGTTGGTGACGGTGGTGGAGAAGAAGCCGTCCCACTCGAGCCGCCCGTACAGGCCGGCCCAGTGGTTGTGCCTGTTGCCCGTGTGTGGCAGGCACCAGGGCAGCAGAGTGCCGTACTGCCGGTCGGCCGGGTCGCAAGGCCGGCCGGCCGCGCATGCGCACACGCCGCGCAGCCGGCCGCCGCCCGAGCGGCCGTTCTTCTTGTCGTGCTGTGTGTAGAGCCTGGCGGCGGGGCGTGGGCGATCAGCACGCCCCCGGCCGGCCACCCGTCACCGGAGCGGGGGGCGCCGCCGGCCGTCCCACCCCCGGCGCAGCGTCTGGTGCCGTCCAACATGACCGGAGGGGCCCGACGGCGCGCCGTAAAGCACGGATTACACGGCGCCGGCGACGTATCGGCGACACATCACGGCCTCCTGTCCCCGCGAGGACGCCGGAGACGACCTCGACAGCAGGCTCTGGACTGCAGCCACGCCGGCAGCGGCAGCGGCAGCGGGCAGGGGGAGGGGGCACTCAGAAGCACACGTCACCTCTGTCGAGACCGGCGCAGGCCGCTGCAAAGCTGTCAGCCCTGGATGGATCGCTAATCCACATAGCAACAGATTACAGGCCCTACCAGCTGTGCGGTCATATGGCCTGAAGGTCATTACAGCACCAATGCTGAAACCGGGAGTTTGTAGCCTAATGATGGATCCCCCCCCCCCCCCCGGAAAAATACAGCTGTTGCAACGCCTTTTAACCAGCCCGAAGAATTAAGCCATCGTCAGAACCCAACACAGGGATACATGCAGGTCCGGTAGCTGCGTAGAGACATGCATGCTACAGTAACAACCTAGTAACCCCTAGAAACCCGAAATGAGAACAACTTTGAGGTGATGCGTGTGCGCCGGGTCCACGCTTTTCGTATGAGCATACCCACATGCGACGGATTCCGCCCTTCCGCGATGAACGCTCGGTATAAAGAACTAAACTTATGCAAACCCCTTTTCAGAAACTAGAAACTTAACAACATTTTTGGGAGCGTTTTCCGAAACACAAGCCTTCACAATTTTATACCAACCACGATAAACCTGTAAACCTACCGCGGTCAAGATGTCCAACAGACGTGTTCGAGATGTCAGTAGCCTGCTTGAACGAGTCACCATGCGTCGGTCACACAACCTACCCTCCTCTCATCTCAGCTGAGGGTTTCACCACAGGCGGGTCGGGCCCGTGCTCTGGCCTGCCGGTACCCGCCTGACCACCGCCAGCCCCCCCCCCCCCCTCGGACACCACCCAGCGCGGGTCGGCGCCCCGACCACTCACAGGAGGCGCGAAGTGGTGCCATCGCTGAGGCGGACTGCCAGGTTGGGCAGGTCGCGCCAGTCGCTGCCCGGCGCCGTCGGCACGTGGCGGATGCGCGCTGCGATGAGTGGCGCCATCTCCTTGCACACGTGGTCGCGCAGCAGCGCCGTCTCCTGGCCGGCCCGCATCTGCGGCAAGAGGCGGCGGTGACGGCTGGCTCGTCATGGCCCCGGAGGGGGGGTGCGTCAGGGCGCGGTCCGAAGCCATCGCAGCAGGCGCCACAGCGTGTTCGGCGAGTGTGTCGCCCACGGCTCTGTGACTATATCCGACTGGGTACGTAGCAGAGATATGATCAGGTCCTGCTGAAGACCCTTTCAAGGCCAAGGACCTGAAATTAAGGTCCTTTCGCATTGCATGATGCCTAAAATAATCGAGATATGGATGGAAAGAAAATATTTTGATGGCTTTGTCTTTGCCGTTATGCTGTGACGATATGCTCATTATTCGAGCATGATTTCGGAAAGATCAGGCGAAACAAGACCGGAGTCCAGTAACATAATGAGGTGTCATACGCTCTTCTAGGTGTCATAGGATAGCTCAGTTGGGTGCAACAGCAAATCACCCGTCTCTGGGCATAGCTCAGTTCCCTTCTGGCGCTTCCCAGTCATGCATCTTCGTAAACATTCCTACTTCTGATCGCGTTTAGTATTTTTGGCCATCTTTAAACAATGTATGCAACGTAAATCGCGAAGATCCAACTAGACGTGACTTTAGTTTTGCGGGTGTAACGACGCATTGAACCCCAAACGTTATCAAGTGTCGTTTTACTTCGAGCTGATCACTGCGAAACTGTTGGCACAGAGCCAGCCTTGAACCCTGCCCGTCACTCGGCACGTGCAGCCAAACGGACGCTCGCCCTCCTGGCGCCCCACCCTCCGCCTGCGCCTTTGTAACCGCCACTGGCGCAGGCAAACAGGCCACGAGCACCGCCCGGCACGCACCACTCTCTGGAAGTGCGAGCTGGCGTCGCGGTCGTACGGCATCTGTTCGTGCTTCTCGCCGTTCAGGATCTCTGGCAGGTCAGACATGGCGTCCCGCACAGTCACAGTCCGGTATGGCGCCGACTGCGACCACCGGCACGTGGGCGCGTACTGCAACACCGCGTCCTCAGGTCAGCCGGGGTGCGCGCTGCGCATGTCAAATGTCATCTGGGTGAGGGCACACTGAATACCGGCGCCACTGCAGACAGCCTACGACAGCCACCGACAAAGACAGCCTATGTGGTGGGTTTTATGACCAGCATCCCAAATCCTTAGATGATTGGTACTTAACAAGTTGTTCGACGTTCAAATCCGCAGGTTATCACACGTCATGCTGCACGTTGTCGTTTAAGAGCGGTGGGTCACGGGGGAGTGCCCGTCCGCCGTTGTCCGTGAGCCGTTTCGCCGTCCATACCTTGGTGTCCTCCATGACCACGGCCAGCGAGGAGGCCCTCAGCGAGAACACGTGCTGGGGCTCCGGGTACAGGGGCAGGCGGAAGCCGGGCGCCGAGGCCATGATGATCGCCCTACCGAGTAAGGCACAGTCAGACTCGTCAGTGACGTACGGTGGCGGGCCATAGCGCCGCCAGCAGAGCGGCGCATGCCACGCATAAGCCCCAGACGATACACAACTGCCATGCGATCCCAATGTTAACGTGGCGACCAGAAACTTCCCATCAATAGACGGCTTTGATCTGCGCAGATGACGGACTGCATGATGTCAGAGTGGTGCCGGCTGAGGTCCCCGGCGCGTGACCGACCTGCGGCGCGTCTGAGGGACGCCGTAGTTGCCCGCCTGCAGTACACCAAAGCCGCACTGATAGCCCATCTTCAGCAAACAAGCCAGCGTCAGCTTCAGCACCATGTTGGCCTTGTAGGAAACGAAGTTGCGCACGTTCTCCAGGATGAAATATTTTGGCCGGTAGAAGTCGCAAAAGCTCAAGAAGCTGACGATCAGTGAGTTCTGCGGAAAAGTGCTCCAGTAACAGAGAGCCCGGCAAGTTCCAATTGCTCAACAATCCTGTGGACCAGCTCTACAACGCAACCTATCTTGCAGTTGTCACCTCTTCCCTGTGCTTCAGCAACATGCAATTCAGCGTGATACGGAACAGCGAATAGAACAGCAGCGTAGTGAGGTGGAACAACAAACTAACAGTATGGTAGAAAGCTCACTCACGCCCCTCTGCCGAAAGTCGTGGGTTCAGGTTTAACATCAGTCCAGTGTTTCGTAGTCTGCATTACATGTCGACGTTAAGTGACGACCGCAATTCGTCATCCAATAACCCAGAAACTGTTCCAATGAAATGCAAGATAATTCAAGTCGCACAACAGTAAAACAAACTGAGGGAGCTTTTTCGGGGAGTGGCGCAGGATCGCGACGGTAAAGCAAGCCTTCGGACCACGCGTTGAAAAAGGCTGCGGATGTGGGAAACCGCAGAGATACACGAGGCCGTGTAGGGGGGTCACGATTTAAACACGGCACACACACCCTGGAACCGGCGCGCGTCACAGCGGGTACCTTGAACTGCGAGTACTGTCGGGAGTTGAAGCGGTTCATGCCGGAGAAGCCCTGGCACGGCGGCCCGCCGCACAGCAGGTCCACCTCCCCCGGCTTCGGCAGCCGCTGGCCGCTGGCGTTCTGCTCTGCACCCTGCAAACGTCACAGGAAAAGGGAATGTTGGGACACACTCAGTGACAGACTGAGTGAGTCTCTTGCGCACAGCAAGTGATTTAAACATTATGCCAACAGTGATATCCCAAGTGGATTCGTGCAATTTGTCCGCGCCATGTGAATCAGGAAAAAGACCTCGTACTCGGATACCGTTGGAACAGCCATGCAGCAGTGACATGTAAGTGAATCTTTTGCGATGGTGACCCTATACAAATATCCTGCCCCTGCGACATGCGAGCCCTCTGCAACAGCGACAAGTTGTGCGAGTCTGTTGAAATAACGGTGCGTCATGCGACTTTTCCTGCGACGACGGCTCATCAAAGGGGACAGTGGCACATCATCACTTTTCTGCGGCGGCAGCGTCTCAGTCACAGCCTCAACATAAGGACAGAAGTTATAAAGTGAAGTTACCAGGCTCCAAACACGCCTGCGAAATGATTATCAGACACACCACAGTCCTCTAGTACCAGAACATTCTCTAAGGTTAAATTCCCTCACAAATTATCAGCTGCACCAATTTGTGCAAGTTCCCATCAGCGGCCATGACGGCTGCCTGGTTGGGGATATCATGGCTATAGAGCCCAGGGCTACAGAGCCCCGTCCGGGAGGTGGCCGGCACCAGCTGGCGGACCGGCCCCGGCCTCACGTCTATGGCCAGCTGCAGCAGGTGGTTGCAGTCCTCCGAGAACACCGTGGCCTGCGGGTTGTTGAGCCGGTACGCGTTGGCCGCCGGCTGGTTTATTTCGATCGCCCATTGGCTGAAAACCGACAAAACGGTCAGCCCGCATGGTGATCATCCCGCGTAGAGCGACGTGACAAACAGCGCTAGACATTACCGAAAGGCCCCTTTTCACCACATCCACAATATAATCTACTACACATAATCTTGGATTGCTATATTCAATACATAAACCCAACTGGTCACACACACACACACACACACACACACACACACACACACACACATATATATATATATATATATATATATATATATATATATATATATATATATATATATAAACGCGACAGAAACGTGACACAGACGCCCCTTCCTTCCGACAGACAGTGACGCCTGCCAGGCCGCCGCCCAGCCCCGCCCTCACCTGACGGCCACGCCCACTTGGTGCAGTCCGGCGGAGAGGCCGCCGCAGCCGGCGAACACGTCGAGCGCGCGGAGCGGCGCCACGACCGGGTGTTCGGGCGGCGGCGGCACCGCCCGCTGCGCCGCCGCACCCTTGCCCTTGCCCTGACCCTGCGGCACAGGCGGCAGTCAGCGGCCGGCGCGAGCGAGGTGCACCAGCACGCGCTGCAGCTGGCGGAAAGGACCGCGTGCGACGAGTCAAGCGTGACAACCCAGCCGATCGTGCGGCGGTACGGGAGTCAGGGGCACTGCCCGTCAGAGCCGTCGGCCGTGCTCAGACTGAGCAAAACAGACCCACAAGCACAGGACAAATAAAGCAGAGAGCAGCAAATGGCTTCCCACATTTGACAGCCAGCGGGCACGACAGGGAGGGGATACGCCAAACCGTGCATGTTTATATGTAAAATAAATTTATAAGCCCATGTGTTCATCCTATGCTACACAGAGCCTCCAGGTGCAACTGCTTTCTGGTACAGTCACTACGTACAGCCATCTCTAGGCATGATCAGTGCCGGTACAGCCAATCTCCAGGTACAGTCTCTCCCACATAAAGCCATGCCCTAGGACCGTCAACAAGCGCAGCCGTCCCTCTGTACACAGACAGCCTCCACCGCACCTTTCTGACGAGTCCCATGCGTTTGGCGGCCGGCGGCGGCTCGGTGAAGCTCTTGCCGTCAGCGTCGTACGCCTCGAGGAAGTAGAAGCGGTGAGGTCCACAGCGGCGGTACTCCTCCGGCGAGCAGGTCAGGTTGCCGCCGTACACCACGTGACACTTGCCCATCACGTGACCGAACGCCAACCGACACCTCTGGCGGCGCGAGGCGGCCGGCGTCAGCGGGCGCCCGCCACGTGTCGTCGAGTTTACTCGAGAGGCACGGTTCCGAGGCTTGCAAACATTACGAAGAACATCAGTCCCTTGTCTTCATCTCGACACTATCAATGCATAACGACAGAAGCGTCACACAACCCACACGGTATCTTCATGTAGTGGCGCACGCTCTACAACCGAGGGCCCCAGCACATCCGGACATCCCACTGGCCACTGGAGCTGCACGGCGCCACGGCAGGCCGCTCACCCTCGCTACTGTAGTAGATCATGTGCAGGTCGCTGTGCTGCGAGCCCTCCGTGCCCCGGAATGTGTCCTCTCCTCGGTAGAACTTGGTCACGCGGAGGAAAACGTCGCCCGCCTCCGCGTTGCTCGCTGCGGAGCGGACGCCTTCGGTAACGTTTCGCCAGAGTCACGCCGGATAACGCCGTACTGCTATTGATCGTAGCCATTGATTGGGCTGCCGTGTAAGCTCACTACCTAGCAAATCATTTACAAAAGGCGACTCCTCACCGACATTAGATGAGTTGGTCGCTTAAGGCTTAATGCTGTCTGAACTCTGGACACGAAGGTGCGGGCGTACCAGTGCGAGATCTTCCCAAACCGCAAAGCGAGTTGAAAGCTAGGGCATCACCATCATCTCGGCGAACGATCAGGAGAAGGTAAACAACTGACACCAATACAAGACCAAGGTCGAGTCGTCATGTTGGGCGCCACCTGTTCTGTTCGTGAAGATGCTGCTGATGCGGCCGATGCGGAATGGGTCCGGCGTCTCCTCGTTGGAGCCCTTCACGTAGCTGGTGGCCTTGCGGTAGTATTCCGGGTAGAGTTCCTCGTCCACCTGACGGGAACAACCGAACAGCTAGTTATGGACAGCTATTGACGAAGACCTATCATTGGCGAGCGTGCAACAAATGTCCAGGGCTGTCAACTGGTTGCGACAATGATGCCTGCTTTCCTCGCACTGCCAATCCGCCTCGCTCTGAGAGCAACTGGCGACAGAGCCTGCGTTTGGAGCCGGCCGCATCCGCGCCTCTCTCCAGCAAGGGTGGCGCATCTCGCCACCACGATACCTGCGAAACGTCGCACGTCTTGGCCGTCTTGACCCAGGCCTGCCGCCGGCGCAGAGAGAAGGCGGCGGGGTCCAGGAACACACACTCGCCCACCGAGTATGTCTCGCCGCCGCAGCGCACCTGGCCGAAGCGCGTCTGCCGAGAGCGAGTGGTCATCGGCCGGGGACGCGAGACAGGGCGGGGAGAGAGCGAACGCTGGAGACAGGACGTCTCACGCCAGGGACTAGACCTGATGAGTGATTTGACTGGTATGATATTCATGTAAGACTTTGTAAATGGCAAACAATGTCGCTACTCATGAGTGACATGTCGCCGCACAATGCAGAAACGGGCGAAATGCTCATCTAAATAATGAAGAGAATAACCATGATGAGAAGTTGGGCTTTGGGTGTGAGGAATAAAGTAGACAAATACAGTGCGCTGACGGAAGATACACAACTTCTGTGAGAGCATGAGCACGTGCACCGATGAAGACCAAGAGAAAGACCAAGAGGCGGCGAGGCGGATAGGCGGAGAGGCGAGGAGGCGGAGAGGCAGGAGGCGAAGGCGAGAAGCGAGGAGGCGAGGAGGAGGAGGCGGTAAGACACACAGACAGACACAGACAGGAAGAGGAACAAAAGAAATAGAAAAAGGAGAGAGAGAGAGAGAGAAGAGAGAGATAGAGAGAGAGAGAGAGAGAGAGAGAGAGAGAGAGAGAGAGAGAGAGAGAGAGAGAGAGAGAAGAGAGAGAGAGAGAGAGATAGAGAGAGAGAGAGAGAGAGAAGAGAGAGAAGAGAGAGAGAGAGAGAGAGAGAGAGAGAGAGAGAGAAGAGAGAGAGAGGAGAGAGGGAGAGAGAGAGGGAGAGAGAGAGGGAGAGAGAGAGGGAGAGAGAGGGAGAGAGAGAGGAGAGAGAAGGGAGAGAGAGAGGGAGAGAGAGAGGGAGAGAGAGAGAGGGAGAGAGAGAGGGAGAGAGAGAGGGAGAGAGAGAGGGAGAGAGAGAGGGAGAGAGAGAGGAGAGAAGAGGGAGAGAGAGAGAGGGAAGAGAGAGGTGG